AGGAATTATCAAGATGATGGTCTATAGATGCACTGGGAGAGATCACCTCCATTAGTGCAAAACCCCCCAGGGAAGCAGGAGTATAATTGCTGCTGCATGGCACATTCCTTTCTGTGTTCATGGTTTTCTCCTGCTTAAGGAATTACTGTCCAGTTTTAGCCTGTGAGAGAAGTTGTGACCCAAGGAGGACCAGTTGTTGATGTAAGAATATTAGACATTATTCAAAGTTTAAGCTGTTCCAGGAAATGTCACTGTAGCTGGAAGGGAAGTGAGCTACACAACAGGAGAGGTTTTAAACCAGAGCTCTAGGATAAATACCTTTAATCATACTTTCCCATCAAATCTAGCAAATTCTAAAGAATCTTATATTGCACTTAATTTTACTCTGAGTTGATTTTAAACACCTCTGGGACATAATGCTTTGGGAAGAGTAATTCTGAGATGAGGCAGAATCACTGCTGCCTGGCTGAGCTTCATGCCTACCCACATGACAAGGGTGAAGCATGAACATAAGCCCATCACACACATATATCCTTTAAAACGATTTTAATACTTAAAAATAAGTGCATAAACATACCATTTATGAGATCAGAAGTTAAATAAGTTAAAACGATAGTTGTGGCTTGCAGTGTGCCTTCCTTAAGTTACAGTCCATGCTGCTTGCACACCCATGAAAGCATCCATTGGCAGATTCCTGAAGTCTCAATGCCATTTGGCCAGTCCCTGTGTCATGCTGTATACCTTCCTGGTAGCCAGAACTTGGCTCCTCTCTAGCAGTAGCAGGATGGGTTTCCCTATATTTTCTGCTGCCACAGCCCACTTGTGGTATATTAGTGCAGAGGCAGAGTGTGAACGCACGGGCTGCGGAGCGAGGACTTGCTGTGTCCTCACCCTGATGGACCTGCTGGTGTAGATAGGGAGTGGAGAGTGCAGGTTGGTATTGCCTTCAACCACAACAACTAAATGCTCCAGAATTTGTGAGCCAGTCACTCATGTAACCTAACTGGGGAGAAGCAGAAGTTTTTTGGTAGTGCTATCCCATGCTACAACTTACACAAACTGTTCTTCAGACATCTAAGTCATTCATGTACATTGTGCATCTCTCTAATCTAGATGCATTCATTTGCCTAAGATGCTTAGACTGGGATTTTTTGGGGAATACATTAGAAAATACTTGTTCGTGTCCCTTTTGAAGAAGGAAAGAAATACTGTCTATGTATAGGGCACGGATTTTAAACTGAGAAACTTGTTTATAACATTTGGCAGCAAACCGGACAGAGCAACTTTTTGGAAACATTTTTCTTTTATCATCCCCAGCATGCTTTTGGTTTGGCCCTGCTTCAACTAGAAGTTTTTCCATCCAGCCTAGGATTTTTTTTATATTTGTTTTTATTTTAAGAGACTTGATCCGCTAAGAGTTATTATTATATGTTGCGTTTTGAAAGTCTTTCTCCCTGTTAGGGCAAGACTTAATAAGATTGTTACATTCAAACCATTAAAAAATAATCAAGTAGTCCTTTCAACATCTTATGCTGATTTATCTGCTTTTTTGCACCTCATTCAGTTTGGGCACAGAAATTAGACTGGTCTGTTTTGCCTTCTTGCCTGAGGATCATTTGCCAGTGCTTTGTGGAGAGGCAGCTGAGGGCTTGCAGCCAGATTTTCAAAGGTACCAGATGCTGGCAGATACAGCAACCAACCTAAAAGATTTTCAAAAGTTTTCTGCCTAGCCTCCATGAAATGATCAGAATCAGCGCAGGGCGGGTGTTATCTATTTCATGCATATTTAGAGTTGCATGTTAGGGAGCTTTGGAAATCTATGCCGTGTTGGTGCCTTTCTGGCTTACATTCAAGAAAAGTAAATAGAAGAGGAAGATGAAGTCAAAAGAGCACATCATACTATTTTTTTATAGGAAATAAAAGCCAACGAGAGCATTAACAAATGCACAGATCCTTTGCTAATACTACTCTTCCATACAAATAATTGCCCTGGGGATAGTGTGTTGCAGTGAGTGGAAGAGCCTGCCATCTCTGCCAGTGTGTCTGGATATGCCTGAATCCTTCTAACTGAAATTAAAAGAAAATGTTTGACAAGCCATGCTATTAGTTTTGTAAAGCTTGTTTTACTGAAGCACAGGCTGGAAGGGCTTTTGTTCCTGTATGTGTTTTTCTGCCCTTCTTTAATTTTCCTCCTGTCCTGAAGAGTGCAGTCCCTAATTGTGAATTAGCAGTCAATCTATACTTTTTCAAATATGTTTAAGATGTGTGTGCATACCTGCGCACCCAGACATCCCATCGGCAAATGGGAAGATGTCAGAAGATCTTTGCAGCATTTGTGTTGCCAGTGGGAGCCTGGGTAGCAGGATGGATTTGAACATAACTCGTTCATATCCTTGTCCTAACAGATGATCCTTCAGCAATTGACCTAGACTCTGACTGGAAGGCTCCCACAGAAGAATGGGGAAACTGGACAGGAGATGAGGAGCACCAGACAGGGGATGAGAAGGACAAGGTGAGGCAGCAGCATTGATGACCAAGGGAGACTTGCTCCACTGGGCTCGGTCTCAGCCAGACTGGGGTGTCCAGTCCAGCCCTAGAGCCGGACTCCTCCGGTCATGAGGACTTTCTCACGCTGGGAGGAGATACTTGGCCTGGTCACTCTCCTGAGCTGTCTGAGATAGCTGGAGCTGGGGGACACACTTGCAGGACCTGCGAGATGGGTTGTGGGAGTTGGCTGGTTCTGGGAGTTCATCATTTGGATGGCATTGCTGTCCCGAGCAGCAAACATCGGGTGTTTGCCACCTTGCATGAATGAACTCTTGCTATTGTCACTGACCTTCCTGAGTACCTTGAGCTTAAAAGAGATGTAGAGTCCAGCTGACACGAGCCTTCACACCATCCTAGGCAGCTGGGATGTATTTATTTAAGTGAAAAGCTTTGCTGATAGTGATACAGTCGTAGTTTGGGTGGAGAGGTAGAAGCAGAAAGCTTGCTGTTTAAACACTTTCTAGAAGCCCAGGGAAATGTCCCTCTTTGGCAGCAGTGGGAGGAGCACGCTGAGCTTTTTGTAAAGAGCTGTCTTAAGCTGAGGTGTGTACCTTATCCATAGAGAGATACCCTTGCTTGTACACTGTCAGCACACATTCCTGGAGGTAAGCAGTTTTCCTGAAAAAAAAATGTGTATCAGCTGTCCCAGGCCTCCTCTTATAAAATCTCTGATGCTTTCAGGATTTGCCAAAAGGCAAAGCAGGCATTCATTCCTGCCTTTCTGGACTCGAAAGCAAAACACAGCGGAAGAAGAAGAAAATTGAAGTGAAGGAAGCAAGGGATGGAGCTGGACTGAGGCATGTGAGTATTCTGTATTCCCAGAGAAGTGTCTGGTTTTTCAAGAGCAGAGGGGGATGTTTTCTCCATTAGGATGATGTAACCTAAGGGGGGGCTTTTCTTCTTCCCCATCTTCTGGCCTCCTCTTCTCTTCTCTTTTCTCCCTGCCCTCCCATAAAAGAAGGGTGAACACAGGGACTAGTGTTTTTTGCAACACGGTATTCCCTAACATATTTACAAAAGAATTTGATTTTGCAATACAGAGAGGAGCAGATGGCTTTAATCATGGAAGAAAAAAATGCTTTCTCAGGCAAATGCACTTCAAGTTTACTGTACAACTGGGCTGTGTTTTATCTATGGTGGAAGGTCACCTGGAGATATTAAATGCAAAAGTGGTTCCTGAAAGCCAGTGAAGATAAAGCAAGACCAGTGTTATACCAGTGAAAGCTTATTGAGAGAAAAATGTCTCAGAGTGCAACAGAGAAAGGCTGTGGAAAATGTCAGCTCATTTGGGATGGGAAGTACAAAGGAAGAGAGTGTTGACTGGGTTTTGGCTGTGATGTCCCCCCTGCTCAGTGAAATGAGAAATGGGGGGACCCCCCCAAAATGCCCTAATTGTTTTTCACTCTCTTACCACTGAATATGTTGCTCTGGACTTGTACAGCTGTGTAGTATCACTTGTTTTCCTCTCACACCCACTGTGGTCTCTCCCGATCCTTGGGATAATTTTGCTCCCTGAACTCCTGATGTTCCCATTTTAAGGGAGAAGCTTTTAATGAACTCAGTGACCACAATCCACACGGTCATTAGGACAGCCCATCAGTTACCAGAGTGCTGCCAGGCCGCTCTCTCCCTTGCACATCCAATTAGTTGTTTGCCTTTGTATGTACCTTAATGAATTCTTATCCTTTGGAGATGGACATAAAAAAATGAAATTATTTATGAAGCCAGATATACAAAGTTGCTTATCCCACTCCCTGTGCTACTTCCAGTATTTCTGTGGACTGTGGTCATTTAGCAGTCACTGGGGACATCTTAGTCTTCAGTCTTCCTATACAATTACAGTACTTACACCTCAATATATCTTGCTCTTCTTCTGTTCATGGGGGAAAACGAGTATCAGCCATAATGAAAGACAATTTAAATACTTTAATCCCTTCTAAAACAAATAAACAGGAGGTAGGTAGATGACATGCCAGAATATTCCAACTGTTTAAAAACTAATTTGTCCTTCAGCTTCTTTAAATACCCTAATTCTTGCCAATAATGACATTTTCTCTCATATTTTGTACTTGCATATGCTTTGTTTAATTCATATGCTTAGTGAAGCATATTGTTTCAATTAAGCCCCAGCAAGGTTTGGAAACAAGAATGGAAGAAGGCCCAAGGGACTTGATATCTACAAAACATAACAGTGATGCCGTCTGTGCTTCCTTCAGAAAATCCTTGGACGTTGCTAATAATTCACCCAATAACAGTAAGTGATTGCTTTTGCACAGCTGATGAATTTTGGTTTCAGAATAATGTGTAATCTGCAAAGTGTTCACAAATGCCTTTTTAAGTCAATATGCAAAATGCTTCTTTAGCTGTGCGTGTTAATTCTTAGAGAGGCTCTGTTATATTTTTTTCTATGACAAATACCTATTCCTGCTCCTGCCAGAGTTAATGAGCAAAACTGCTATTGCATTTAATAATAGCAGAGAGTAATTTTTGCACAGCACTTTTAAATGTGAAACGGAAGCAAATGTATGTGTGAGTCAGAGCCCACTAAAAACATTCAGCGCTCTCCCCATGACTTTGGATTACCTTTGTAAGTAGGTGGCCCTTGTAAAACACATCCAAGAACCCCAAAATACCCTTCTTCAGGCAAAAAGCCAAGAGTCCTCAGGGACATGATTGCACATGGAAGGTTTTTGCACTGGCCTGTTGTTTGTTTGTATGGAAGGTGTACCTGGAAAAAAGGAGAGGAGGAAGAGGAAGAAAATGAAGAAAGAGACTTGAGGGAGCTGTGCAGCTGCCAGAGCGACAACCCAACGGGGCAGGCATGCCAATGAGCTGCAAGGATTCTGCTTTCTGCGATGCCACACTGAGCCCAAAGTAAAGAGAGGCTCTAGGAGACCTCCCAGCAAGAGGAAGAGGAGAAGAGGAGCAGTGAGCCAGAGAGCGTGAGTGTGTGAGAGAACGGCGAAAACGGGCACACTGTGCACGGGAGGTGGTGTTGAAACAGAGTGGCTGTTCGTTACAAACTGCTGCCCTTGATTAAAAGCCGTTGAATGGGTTTTGACTGGTTGCATTAAGTCCTTTGAATTTTTCACTGTCATGTTGTTTGTCAACCTGTAATGTTGTATGCCATTGTAGAAACGGTCAGGACATACCTGACCGTGATTGAACTTCAGCTCCATGGAGGTTCCACCACCTAGGCTGGTCTCTGGCATTTTTGCAGAGGTGCTTATGGACAGGTTACTAATGTCCAGAAGGAAGCACTGTTCAGAGACAAAGGGAGAATAATGTGGATCATTCTCAAACCTCCTACATCTTTTAAATCCTTGTTGGCTGCTACAGTCAGACTTTTGCCTCATACCTTGACGTATTTATACTTTTCACCCCATGTCAGGCTGGCTTGCTCCACAAGGGAGAATTTCTAGAGGAGGTTTTAAACTTACTTGGAAAGATGGTCTGAACCCTTTTTTTCTCCTCAGATTTCATGGTGGGCTAAAGTTTAAAGTCTGTATATCCAAAGCATGTTGCATTTGTATTTGCAGTAGACTGAAGTAACTTTTTGAAACCATTTTTTCTTAATCTGATGTTTGGAAGTTTTTATCATTTTGTTACCTAAGTATTCTAATATAAACTAAGAATGAAATTCTTAAAAATGTCATTTTAGTATTTATTGAAGAGTGTGTATTTCTCATTGTCAGAGAAGCCAGCTTTATAGTATGGAGGAGGGAATGTGTTACAATTGAATACTGTGGTTTATACATAGCACTGAGCTGACACCACTAAAAGCTGAAGCCCTTTATCCCTAGAGGAGCTGCAGCTCTGGTGGCAGCTGTGAGGGTTTCTTAGGTGGTCCTGAGACTGTGCTCCACCTGGCCCACCTTAGAAGTGCTGCCTCAACGGATGAGGTAACAACTGTCAAATCTCCATCTGCGTTCAACTTTGTGCCTCTGGAGATTGTATGAGAGGATGACCTTAGTAATTACCTTAGTGATGCATGTTAAACGTATGCACGTTCACAGGCATTGGGCTGATGCTGTGAAACTCATTTCACGTGGGACACTGAGTAACCCGGGATGTTGATGGTTTTACACCACCACATCAGAACTCCAGTTGGCATCCCTGAGCCAGAGGAGAGCTCTGTGCTTCTGCCATCGCAGCTCCTCAGCCCCTGATGATGGTTTGTCTGAGCTTTACCTGCAGCTCAACACTTTTACGTGAGAGCCTTCATCTGTTGCATAGCTGTCAAAGCAGCTGTATCCTTCAGAGAAGCAATTAATGGCAGCAGTGTATTTGTGTTTGGAGTTTAGCTGCTGTGTGTTAAAGGGCAGTCCTCTTGCCCTGTGGTTTTTGGGGTGGCTAGCTGTACAGTGTGCTCTGAAATTTATCACAGCAGGATTGTTTCAGGCAGACAGGTGAGGGGTAATCTGAACTGATGCCACTTAACAGCCCATCGTCTTGAATCTGCACATCTTGGTGATTGTGTCTCAGTGTTGGGGAAATACAGGCAGTTTATGAATGGAATGAATAGACCACAGGGCTTTTATCTGGAAAGTAACTGGTTTGGAGCAGATGCATAACAAGAAAATACATGGCATCCCTGGAGAAACAAGTACAGCAAGTTCAGGGATTTAGAAGATGTGTTAATGAGTATGTGGGTAATGAGTGAAGTTCTTGCTATCTCCAAAGCCAATGGAAAACATTCATTGACCTCATTGGGGCCAGGATGTTGCCCAAGGCCTTTGTTTGGCATTGAAGATAATCTCTGTCATCAAAAAAAAAAAAAAAAGAAGGGGATAAAGAGAGGCTCACAAGATTGGTAGACTCCAGATTTCTTCTGCTTTTTTCTCTATATCTGCTTGCAAACTTTTGTCTGTGTAATTATGTTTTATTTCAACATGTTACAGGATTGCAAATGTTCATTGTTTTTATAATAAAAAATCAAAACTTTTGCCCAAATCCCAGCACTCATGAGCAGTTTTATTTAATTAGTTTGTATGTGTGTGAGAAAAAGCATGGGGTTTTTTTTCTAAAACCATTTCATTATCAAGCTTTTTTGATGTATCGTACATGGTTTTTTTAAGATATTTCCTTCACCTGAACCCTTTTATGTTTAGGAAATCCTTGTGACAGTCTTCTGTTGTTGGGATAAAAGAACAATCAAGACCTGTGACACTGACAATTGACTGCAGTGCTGATGACAAGCAGCAGCAAATTACATTTCCCAGTTTTTCTGTCAAGTTCATCAGGACCACTCTTATTGACATCACCAGTATAAGGAGAGCTGTATTTTTCTTCTGCTCCACTGTTTCATAGATGGGAAGTCATCACTGTAATACAGATGGGCTCAGCAGTTGATAGCAGCACCTTCTTTAATACCACATTCTAACGTAGGCAAAGAAAATACACTCCTACAACTAACTACTACTGGTTGTAGGCTTTTCTAAATAATGGCAAAGCTCTCTTCAGGGGAAATTTGGTGGCAATGTGCTGTTTGTGTGATTCACCTGCTGTACCGGTACCATTGCTGGGAGCAGTCAGGAAGGGTGTGTTGGGTTCTGTCCGGTCCATACGGCTGCAGGGAGCCCAGTGCTGCTGCTGCACTGGCTCCCAGGGATGGGAAATGTGCTGAGGGTCTGGGTCCTCAGTGAATGGACTGAGTTTAAAAAAACAAACCAAAGCACGCAGCACTCGGTGGCTGCTGTTAACTTCCATTCTTTCACTTCCTAGCCCTCAGAGGCTGAAGAACCATCACTCAGCTTAATGAACCTCTTTGCAGATCCAGCCCTTTGAAAAGCAGACCTTTGAGCTCCCTATGAAATTCCCTTTCCTTTCATCACTGCATGTTCAGGCTACGCTCTGGTTCCTCTGCTTTTAAAACATGTCTTCCCTTCCCTTCTGTGAGAATTAACCATTATGCACAAATCGTCAGTTTGCTGTGCTGCTTCTGGCACCAGGAGTGTTAAACAAACGTGCTTGATATGCTCATTCTCTTGGTCTCTGATCTTTACTAGCTGAAGAGTAGTGTAAGTCCTCAGACAGGAGATTCAATGTCCCTCCAACATGCTGTAGTGTTGCTTGTGCTCTGAGTGGTTTTATTCTCTGCATAAGTTACCCCCTTGGAAGGGTAAATCTAGAGTAGCTTCTCTTTGGTCATTCATCAACCCAGTGTAGCCTCAT